TTATGAAAAGCGCTTTTGAAATTCTATAAACGCTTCGCGTGGTCTCAAAAGAAAAACAAGTAATTAAAACGAACTTTTTATCTCAAGTGGCATGGCAAAGACAAATTTACCGTCGTCTGTAACATAAACACACCGAATTGCTGATAAGGGGGCGCGAACGTCAAAATGAAATGCTAAAACATTTGCATACGCATACATAAAGTATTTTCGTTAGAAAAATGAGATAGAAACATCCACCGTATCGCATTGAAAGCGAGGAAAAACGGCAATTTCTTTGAACGAAGAAAACTTGAATCGATGGTGGGCGGGAGAGACAGAGAGAGAGAGAGAAAGTGGAGATGCACGTGAACTGAAAACAGATTTCGATTGAAAAACGATGTGGAAAGAAAAACGATGAGCGACCGAAGAATTTGATGGAGTGTGAAAATTATGAAACGAAATTAAATTACTTTGTAAGATTTGGCATTGGCAAACATTTGAAGTTGGCATCAATTACGTTGTGCTTTGTCTAAAGTTAACCAATGAGTTAGAAAAAAAGCGGTGAAAATTGTTTTTTTTTGTTTACTTCAAATCAAAGGCAAATGATGGAGCCCAGAGTCATACCATCACGCGCAATCAAAATTCTTAGAAGTTGGATCATTATTCTGCAGTCTGGATAAAAAAAAAGTTGGCAAAGTTGTGGTTGCCCAAAAAGCAAACATCTCATAAAGGTTATGAGCACGCTCTCACTACGTTTTGTTACTTTTTAATTGGAAGTGAGAAACATCGACCGAAGCAAACTTTTCGTCGCAGCTCATGATACAACCGAATTGATAAGTACATTTTCGGAAATTTAGTTTACAATACTTTCATCGTCAATGCCTGATTAAATCAAAACCCGAAAGTTCCGTTATTACATTTTCCCTTTCCTTTTCTTTCTCTTTCTTTTCTATTTTTCTCTCCCTCAGTCGAAGTTGGTCCCATTGAATTTCCCTAATAACGATACAGGCCGATAAACACGAAAGTAAAACACCAACGGAATCTTTGGCCAGCATCTTTTTGAAACAAAAAGTAACACGAAAGCAACTCTGTACACACACACAACAAAATATCCAATTTCCTTTCCTTTATTATGTTTGTTAGACCGACTTTATCTATTATCTATCAATTCCTTTTGCTTATGTGTCATTCAAATGGAAAATCTCCTTTCCTATTCACCGAGTATTCTCACTCTGCATTCCTTGGACGATTTTCTCTACGTCTTTGTATGCGCTCACAAAAGCCCATCAACATCTTCCGCAATGGCAACAATGTTTCGCAACATACTAAGAATATTTAGATTCAATTATAATATGCTTGTTATATTTCACCTTTTGCGCATATAAAATGCCATCCGCATTGATATTTTTACATCAAAAAAATTTATTATTTTTATCTTTCTTTAGTGGCACACGCAAAAACGCATAAACATCAGCTTTGGCAATGCGATTGCTGCAGAAAACCAAGTCGAGATTTTGAAAGACTTACGTATGTCGCTTGAAATCATGTTACGAGTGGGGTGATGGAACGAATACAGTTAGAAAAAAAAATATATGAAATAAATGCCATAGAAATTGGCGAATAAGGTGAATTGATCCAATAACTTTAATAGGGAAGCGAGTTGAGGACGACTATAAAGGTGTCGCCGTCGCTACCATCAGTTGTCGACATCTGAACATGTGAAGAAATATGTGCGAATGACAGGATTGAGATATTCATGTGCTGAAAAATTTACAATTTAAATCAATTTTTTTGTCCCGTCTCTACTTTGTGTCACACTCTATATTTCCACCGGCATTTTTCGATTTTCATAAACCCAAGCATTATGAAAATTTATTTCCTTGGCTATGTAAAACTTGTAACCACTGGGATACAGTTAAAGCATCCTCATGAATTTTTCTTCTTTTCTCTCTCTCTGTTTGCATCTCTTTCCGTGTGCAGTCATCTCGATTTTCGCTTGCAAAGGTGAATCGAGAAAGCGAGTGAGATAATATCAAAAGTTACAAATTGATCGAATAAATTTTCATCTAATTTTTAATGTAAATGCTTCGGTTGCAAAGTGTCAAACCGTCAGTGTATGTATGAGAACGTCGACAGTGCCACAAACGAATGGTGTATCGAGATAGAGAGACTACGAGAGTGCTTCTGTGTTTATTCTGATTTAATTTATTGTTATGGTTATTAGTGTTATTATTTATGACTATTTTGATCGTTGCTAATAAAAATCCATGGCATTGCGTTCGTGCCTTCCTCCGTCTTTACATTCATCGTTTAATTTGAATGAGCTTATAAACTATTTTGCGGCTGAATGATTTTTCGACACAGTCAGTCGATCTACAGTAGTTATATATCGAATCGGAGTGAGTGCGGAGGTATGCATATGTTTATATGCGTGTGTGTATGCCATGTCTGTCATCATCATTTGCATATTCGATAAGTGCTTATAGTTGGGTTGTTTGAATTTAACCATTGTGTGTGTGTGTGTGTGAATACGATTATGAATATGCGTGTAATTGGTTTTATCATTCTCTTATTAGTCTCTCTTTCTTTCGCTCGATTGTTTGATGCTCTATTGTTTTCCATCTCTGTCAAAATGTGTGTGTATGTTTTATTCATTCCACTGGGCATCGTTATTGTGTTCATCGAGCATGTATTAAAATTTTATATCGAAATCGCGGCAGCACTTCCCTCATGAATTGTTTATGCCCATTTCAGTCGAAAAACAAATAAATTTTAATTAAACATACATAAATAATTAATAAAATCGTATTAAATGTTGCCACTAGTGTTCTACACTTTCATCAGCAATACATTTCATCATTCATTCAAATTTGGAAAATAATATAGAAAAAAAATGCCATTCATACACATTCAAACATATGACAGCAGCATCAGCAGCAGCAGCAGTGGCGAATTGGCATTCATTTTATTGGATTGATTCTTGGCTGGTGCCTCTCATTCGGACAGCGTTTACTTTAATTTATTTGAAATTCAAACGGCGAAAAGTGAACAATGTTCAATTGCAATCAACATGCAGACGAACATATATGAAACACAAATTGACCAAATGCAATAAAATTCATGCCATAAAACATTGAACTCTAATATTTTACACTGGTAATTTAGTTTAATTGTCTATCTATTAGATTTCCTTTTGACTTGCTGTACTTTCAAGTGTCTGTTACGTGTGTGTGTGCGTGATTCTGGTATTGTTCAAATGAAACGAAAATTAAAGTGAAATTAAATTGCATGCCATTTTGAATTGGAGAATGCCATATTCTGTGTATGTGAATATTTTTCGGGGTGAAAAATAGGCGGTCAATTGAAATAAACCGAACCAACCAGCCAGCCAGGTCCAGTGTTCTATGCAGTGGTATTGAAAATTAACATTTGCATTCTCTTTTAATATCTAAACCAATTATTTCAACCGAACATGCCATTCAGAGATATCAGTGTTTTTGAGTCGAAAAAAAACACACAAATTGCATAAACATTATCAGTATACGGTGTGGTGTATACAAATGATGTGAAGTGTTGATTTCAGTGTGTAATGAATGGAAAAATGTGCTGAACACTGACAAAAAATGCGGCACGTATTGCACATTGCAAATTTTATATATATTTGTTTGTTAATTTGTTATTTGCTTTGCCTTGTTGTTATATGTGGTTTTTTGTGTCGTTCTCTTTTTTCTACTCTCTTCTCTTCTGTTGTTCTTCTCGAATATCGACATCATTTGTATATACTCTATGTACATTTCGGATCAACAATTCAAAAGTCAATTCAGTGTTTTTTTTGCATTCTACAATTGCTGACTCTCTCAGTTTGTTTAAGTGCGTTTTATTTGTATTGCCAGTTGTTTGTGTTTTTTTTACTTCCATTCATTTGCACTATGCTTCTCTAATTTATTAATGCTGTGAATATACATTGACTTATTACTGTTTATGCTTGCGTCTCAACAATTTGTTGAATTGCGTCTGCAATCACTGATTTTATTGCTGTTGCTATTGTTGTTGATGCTGTCGTGCTTTTTTCATTGGGTTTGGTTTCTCTCTGTGTGTATGTTGTGTCTAAAAGTCTTTTAGCATTATGCAAATCATATTGCATTCTAATTCATGACACTTGAGCGCAAAAAATTTTCAATATTTAGCATTTCAAACGTTGTAAAATGCACCGTTTGGCATCAATTGCTCGATGTAAAAGATAACAACAACAGCAATGAGTTTCGACCTCCGTGCATAATCAATATCAAAATAAGATTCGCCACTTCAGCGGTTTTTTGGGTGTTTCAATGAATGATGATTTTCCCCATTTACTGTATTAAACGATTTTAAATTTTTAATCACATTTCCATGTGGAACAAATGCAATTACCAGCCAACATCCGTTCGGTACTCCAAAAAATGTTGCATGGAGCCGCACATACACTCAATGTATGCAATGTGTAGCAAACCGTTATCTAAACTCGAGTATGTGTGTGTGTATGACTCGCTTATGCAAACATTTTGTGAGAATGCTTCTGAACGATGCAAAACTTTGATGATTGAGTCAAAAATGTATGAGAGCTACACACGTATGTCGTAGCCAACCAAACCATTCAACTACCATCAAACGAGAATATGTTGTTAGCACATTTCTTGTCGCTCTCAAAATATTGATTTTAAATGATGAATTTTAATGCGTTCAAACTGTGCGAGATTTAAGCGAAGCCACAAACGATTACAACGATACAAACTAATCGAAAACAAAATACATTTTCTATGCACACACACACACACATTCCGGGCGCGATGAAATATTATTAAAATGAATTTTTCATGAGCACACAAAATCCGAATAAATGAATGAGACAAGTGGGAGAGCGAGAGAGAGAGAGATTGAGGGGGGTGGGGCAGATGAAGAGGTAGATTAAAAATGTAGCGATGCGAACGACAAAAAAAGTGTAAAATGATTGAATAAATATGTATGTGTATGGTTTGGCTTACCTTTGCATTCGTTGGCATCGCGATAGGTTGCTCGGCCCCAAGGACGATCGAAGAAATATGGTTTACACTTTTCGCAATCACGTCCGGCGGTATTGTGCTTGCAATCACAATACAATTGACCCTTATCGTCGGTGAGGCATCGAGATGCATGACCATTGCATTTGCATCGGCCGCCAACAGCAAAATCAGACACCGCATAATTCTGTGTTGACATTGTGCTCATCGTTGACGATACGAGATTATCGAGCGGTGATTTTTTCTCCTTCGACATCACCATCGAATCGGATGCATGCAATTTATTCGAATACAATTTCGTTTGTTCGATCATCAATTCTTCATCAAGCACATCCGATGGCATTTGCAAGCGATGGAAGATTATTTTGATATCGGTAACGGTCACCCAGTCCTTTTGCGGAAAAAATAAAATCAAGTAAAAACAGACATTGGAAATTCAATTATTTTTTAATGTAGTGAAAAAGCTGCAAACAGAGATAGCGAAAACTAAAAAAAAGTTCAGCAAAAAAACAGATTGGGTTTGAGAGTCATGTTACACGAATGTTATTAATAAAATATTGAATCAGTACAATGTTGCATACCTGTAAAACAGCCGATTGATCAAAATTGGATGCACTGGGTCGACCCTCAAGTGTACTAAATGCGATACGGCCACCATACATTCCGCTGGTTAAATCGCCACTGTGACGATGTGTATCAGAGCAACGTGCTTCCTGTTCATTTGCTTTGGTGATTGGGGCACGATTTGGACGACCATAAACCCGTCGACACTGTGAACTATAGAATTGGAATGGTTGCCATGTGACACCATAGTCAGCGCTCTTGTAAATTGCAATCGAGTCCGGTTTGAGGGATTTTGGACAAAATTGTAGACTAACATATGTCAATTCAAATTTTTTGCCCAAATTCAATGTGAGTGTTACATTATCGGGTGGTGCATTTGGTCCGTTCGGCGGTTGAATTGGATCCGATCGCCAGCAAGTTACATTATTCGGATTATTTAAATCGGTGAGCGCAGCAGGCGAAAATGTTTTCTGTGGATCACTTCGATCGCATACATAACATGTGTTATCGTATGGTCTCATCACATCGTTTGGTTCACAATAACGTGATGGCCCATTTTGACCACAAACACTTGACGCCACGATTTTTGATCCATAGGCCGCATTCACAAAGTCGGGAATGCATCGTTTGGCACGATCGTCTGAGTAGCATGGATCAGTTTGCAGGGCTTGTACATAGTTGCTCTTCTTTGGATAGTCTTCACCAAACGTGTAGCCCGCATAACAATGGTGAAACACACAATAGAGAACAATCAAGTATCGATTGCACCAATGTATCATCATTTTGGGTTCTTGTTTTTTTTTATCCGGTTTCGTTCAACAACAAAAAAAATGGTTCTCTTTAAATGATGATGATGGTTCTCGTGCGAGAGTTTTGATTTCGGTAATTTATGTACTCTTCTTCTTTTCTTAAATCAATTATATAATCGTTTCGTTTTGATGATTCTCTCTCCCGGTGAAATTCATAGAATTTTTTCAATACAAAAGAGAAACGAAAAAATAAAATAAGGAGCAAACCTTAAGCAAATGTCTAACGGATCGTTTGAGAAAACGATATGTTGCGTTCTTCTTGAAAATCACAAGCACACACAATCCGACAATTTTCCTTCTTCGTATCGTCTATCGTTAAGTTAATTCACTCACAACAGCTCCGTTTTTGAAACACAATCTATGTTAAACGATATGAAACACACCATTAATCGTTTAACCAACGAGTTAAGAGAGAAACGATGCGCTCTCTTGCCACAATTCAATAAGAATTGAAGATGAAACACACACAATTTATTATTTCTATTCTGATGAGTGTTTTTTTTTTGTTTTGTTTTGGCTTTTATCTTCAGCTCGCGCGGTCCAAAGTAAAAGAGTCGAAATGCATTCAAAACGATGTATAAATAATGCTCTCGAGATGGAAATCAAATACCAAAACCAGTGGAAATAGCTACAATTCGATTGGTATGCACGATACTTTCGTCCGTTGTTATGTTATGAGTGTGTTTTCTTTTCTCTAACGACTTCTTTCTATCGGTTCTGTTTTGTTCACGTCTATACGTGTGTGTCTTCTCAAAAAAAATTATTATTAGTTATCTAAATTACACATTTTCTTTTGCGCTACTTTATCGCATCTGAATATCTCTTCGATCGCTTCTTAGATTTCTATATGATAAACTGATGTGATTGGGATATGAGCGGCTGTTTCGTTGGCAACAGGCTCATGCATACGCCGATCGATTGAATTTGGCCGATAGAATGTTTGTGTGTCGTTCGTTTGTGTTTTTTAAGCAAACATTACACAATTTGATATTTCTCTCAACTATCGTGTTGTTCGTTTGTTGTCTCGTGTCTTTTGCCTGGGCGTTTTGTGCTTTCATCGACTTTTTTTTTTTGCTACAACTCCCTGGAGAATCCAATGACTCTCTTTCCGATTACTTATGGGATTGCAAATGTTATGTTTTTCTGCTGTTAAATTTATGGCAATTTGATTTTTATATTCTCGCTTTTTTTGTGGCCAAACGCAAATGCAGTATTACATGTGGTTCTGAGCTGATGGAAAAAAAGCGCAAGTGCTATTCCACAATAAATGGCCGATTAAAACTAGTTCAGAATGAAAGCAGACAAAATGAAAATGTTGTCGATTCAACAAATTCGTTGGAATTCACTTCGTTTTTCTCTCTTGGAATATGGCTACTCAATTCGATACAGTGTGTTCTTTTTATTCACTATTCAAATAGCATAATATAACTTTTTAGCACTCGATGTGGAAGCGTTTTTTTTGCTTTTAGAAGTTTGCTTTTTTGTTTTTTTTATCGAATAGTTTCGCGTAAATTATTTGATTACATTTGTATGTATACGTCTTTTTAGCTGAGGTAGACTTTTGTCACTACATAATTTGTTTGCTTGTTTTGTTTTGAGTTTCGTGTAATTTGCGTTGATCGCAATTTACTTTCAGTATAACAGCAATGTTGGAAATTGTCGATTAAATTTTTTTTTATGTGGCAATCATCGTAATTTTGTCATTTTCAGTGTGTCGTTAAGAATTCAACGAGATGCACTGCACCAATGGTTATATCTATATATATTTATTTGGAATTCGTCGATTCACTGGATTTTATGATAATGCGATTGCAATTGTTGATGGCTGGTGAATGGCAACAGCACAACAAATGAAACAGAAAAGACAAACTTGAAATCCAATCGAAAATTGTTGGTTGCTTTGTTGTTTTTTCTTATTCGCGAGAATATGTCGTACCTTTATTCGATTCGGAAATTGTTTTCTTTTCGTTCGATATATAATTTTCGTATTCACATTTTCTTCGTGAAATGTGGTGACAGTGTGTCTCTTTTTTTTATGCCATTTGCATCCTTTTTCAACTTGAAGCGTGTATTTTGGTTTATGTCTCAATTTTTCGCCATTGTTTGTTCAGTCGTTTCAAAAATAATTCAATGTTTCTTCTTCTTTTGCCACACTTTTTCTCACCGGATTACTTTTGGTGTTTTTTTTTTATTTTGCATATGAACATTCAATTCGCTTGTGATATCGCAAAACGCTCACACACTATTTGCACTTTCTGAGAGCAATGAGAGATATGTCGTTGATTCGCGACACAAAACAAAAACTCACACACAAAACTGTTTTATTCACTGAACGCGCACGCTGCGAGTACGAGAAGTGCGTGCAAAAACACCGATTTTTACACGACACTGCCACAAAAACGGGAATGCAAAAGAAAAACCGCACCGTTGCATTGGCAAGAATTACATTTATAAATATATTTTATGTTCGATGTTCGATTTAATCGTTGGCCGTCGTTGTCGTCGTCGAAATTGTCGTAGTCGTCGTCGACATCATCGTCGTGGACATTTGCTCAAAGGTTTTGATTTTTTTTTTCGTCGATTCTTTGGCCGTCGTCTTCGATTTTATTATTATGCACAGCACATACGTTTTTTTTATTATTATTGTTCGCCTCTTTGACTTGATTCATACGATGCTTTTTATATTTTAAAGTTTATACACTGTGTGTATGTGTCGTTTGTTGTTGAATCGCAACTTTTGCCAATCGTTGTTGATATCGATATGGTGGCTAGTCAGGCATTAAGGTGGACTCGAATACAATTTATTCGTTTCGTTTCGCCTGTCGCGCTGTTTATTGTCTCTCTTTCTCTCTCTCTCTCTCGCTTATGTTCGTACAAATCGACAATTCTATATCGCGGCCTGTCCACTTAAAAAAACAAAAATTGCGCTTTCGCGTTTTGGCTAATTCACGGCGAATATTACAATGACTTCTATTTATTGGTTGGAGCGAGCGATTGTGATAGCCAAATGCGGAGGCATATAGGCAATAAATATTACGCCGATTAAGTTTTTTTTTCTCCTTCAAAATGAAAATCTCACACACCGTATTTGTGCTTCACTGACGTTGCTATCACTTAAGCTCTCGCACCTTGAAATTGCCTTTCCTTAGTTTTTTTTTGTCTTCTTCTTTTTATATTTGTGTTTTATCAAATATTATCTTTTTATGTATTTATCACTACTGAAAAATTGTCGTATTCAAATTTGCTTGCACGTTTTGCAAATAAAGCGGTAATTTTGAGTATCAATTTACATTGGTACGATAATCGAAAATACCAACGGATCTCACTGTAGTTATTTAACTGTATTTTTTGTTGGTTTGTGACTATTGTCACACCGCAAAACAAAACAAAATTTTGAATATTTGGCTTTGATTTTGTAGCTTCACATTAAATTCGCATTTGATAACAGAACTTTGTTGATTTTTGTATTTCGATCCCACGATTATACGTTTGGATACGAGCGACGTGATGTTTTCGTTAAACGGCTTCGTAAATCGCTTGATGAAAAAATACGGTATGAAGAGAAACCAGCATACACAACTGCCGAGTTCCGACTGTGAATTCGTTCTATCTGTACCGTCTATCGTTGGACTTCGATGCTGGTTTATCCGTTTCTCGTCTCAGCCAAAGTGAGAGCGAGTGAGCGAGACAAACAAGAGAGAATACACCGAAATGGAGAGAGAAACATATCTCTCTCTTTCGCTGCGAGTGTATACACATTCAAGCGGCTGTATTGTATTGACTGTGTGTTGGTGTCTTGCAAATCGACGTGAGAGAGCGAATGAGTGCTCGAAAGAGAGAATACGTACATTGTAAATGCATGAATGCAGAGCAAATACGAGAAAGATGCATGAGTTCTCTCTCGCTCTCGATCGTGTTGTTGTTCGGTTGATTAATGCATGGATGCTCTTCTTTGGCTGAAGTGCGTGTGCATACACATGTAAATCCAGTGCCGTTTTTTTTTTTGTTGTTTTCGTCTCGAGAAACTAAGGATCCTACTGCTACTGTGTGTTATTCTGCAAATTTCTTCTTAAATGCTTTTACCACATTTGGATGCACAGGAATATGTGGCCAAAAGAGGAAAAAGAAGCAGAAAAAAACAATCCAAGAGCATATTTGGCGAAAGGTGAGGCAGAGAAACAACGACACATTCTTTCACAAAGAAAATTGTAAAAACGAAAGAGAGCACAAGCATTCGAGACTGCAAATTCATTGAAACCCTAATCAAATCGAAACCAGTGCTAATGCATTGTATGGACGTGAATGCTTTTTTTTCTCGAACATACAAAATAGAACCTTTTTGAATGAGAGGACTGAAAAAAAGGAATTCCAACAATGGATGCTGCTGGATGCTGCCGTTTGTTGCAATCCAAAAGTCGGAGTTCGTTTCTTGTTAACTTAAATTGCTTGAAGTGTATGTATTGTTTTTTTTTTTCGAGAGAAATAGCAAAAAAGGCATTCTAGTTCGCTAAATAAACCATTTTGTCTACATTCATATGTGTGTTTACGTACTATCGTTTAGATTGGCCATTGAAAATTGCTTCAATCGCTGATGCTGCTACTACCGACTAGCTCTCTTGCAGGCGCACACATCGCTGCATGTATTGGATTGTACATATCGAAAACTGCGTTTCGTTTCGTTAATGAACGCATACCGAAATGATGCCATTGGTGCTCACCGTGTTATAGACAAAGAGAGTGTTGCGAAAGAGAGAAAAATCGTCATCATCGTCAGCCGAAGTTTGCAACACAGCACAACAATACTCAGTCAACGTCGCACAGAGTACCAAAACCGTTTCACATATAAATAGGTATACATGATATCTGTCTGAACTGAAGTATCCAATTCACCGCACATTATGATTGCCATTCGCGCGCGCTCTTTATGTTGTGTGCATTTGCGTTCCTCTTTTTTTTCATTCCTTGTTTCGTCGCAAATTGTGTACGCTTTTTCCTCTCTTTCTCTCTCTCTCTCTCTCTCTCTCTTTCTATCTATCTCGTTCTCTCTGTATGTGTTGGTGTACACAAATAGGCTTGCATATGGCTTATGCATTTAGCACATACGCGACACATTTACCATTGGACATCTGTATGAGTTAGTTTGCCATGATACATGTTTATTAAATTCGTCTCGGAGGCTATCGCATGCACCTTCGTCGCTGAATCACAGTGCACATTTGCCCACTGAATATGTCGATACGCGTGTTATTTGTCATTTACCGAACCCTTCGGAAAAACGGTTCGATCTCTCTCTATGTGTCGCGTATCGAATTCATTTAAGTGATTTTTTGATTTCAATCAAATCAATGTGAAACACAAATTCTTTTGCTTTTGTTGTTCGAATAATGAAAAAAAGACGACAACGACAACCGAATAAATTCGGTTCGACCGCCAATGAAGAATTTCATGCTAAATATACACTAATTTCAGATGCATAAAATAAACGTTTTGTTTATTTTCTCCACATCACTCTCTCGCCAGCCTTTGCAACGGCAATGCCATTCGATATTTCATCATTTTTCATTAATGCGCCGCACAGTGTGCAGTTTTGTTCTCTTTGTGGCAGTTTTTCTTTCATGTGGCAACCGTACTAATTGTCATTTCACACTATTCGACCACTTAAACTTTGCGCTTTATGTTATTTTTATGTGTCATTTTTACCGAGTGTATGTGTGTGTATAGTTTTTTTTTTCATTTCTGGATTTTCTGCCAGGTCGATTGGTTCTTTTTTTTCTGATTGGTTTTTATCACCGACCCTTATATACTATATTCATTGCTCGATTCCTTCTCTTCATACTTCGTACGCGCTCATGTAAACAAACGGATTTCATCGACCATTAAATATTTATACGATATCTTTGGCATCTCAAGCATTGATGAGGTGCTAGATTTGTAGCGCTTGAGAAACATTAGTAACATTTAATCTAAACATAACAAAATATCAATTGCCAATGAAATTGTGCGTTGCGATACAAACTAACACACACAAACACATGCATGATCCCAGGTCCAGATGAAAATGATGGGAATGTCAAAATAAAAATGATATGTGTTCGATATAGTGATGCCGACACTTCTATGCATCAATATTTTTGTTCCATTCTTTTTTCATCTATTCACTCAATTCTTCTTAATTCCCTTTCAATTCTTAATCGAACTGTGTGTATTCGTGCGCAGGTTAATCTATAGCATCTATCAATTCCCTGGGGTTTCATTCGCTCGCTCTCTGCCGCTCTTCTATATTTTTCTTTCTCGTTTTTGTGTCAGTTTTTTGTTATTCTTTATTTTGATCTGTATTTTTATCGTATTTCTTTCTTTAGCCAGTGCCTAGAGACTCTACGCAGTTTTTGTGTTTGCAGCATATCTTTTGACTTCGGTTTTTATTGCATACACACAAAAATTCATATTTCGGTTACGTTTGTGAGAAATAAAAGAAAAAAAATTCGGGCGAAAAAGGAAAAAACCATGGTTTTTTATTGCATTGAGAAAACATATGAAATTTTCAAGAAAAAAAAACCCACATCTTCATTTTTCTGCTCAATTCAATTCAAACAAAAAAGGATATTGCTGCTATTCACTTGATTTACCCTCAAAACGATCGAAAAAATTTATTCCGGGTATGCGAGTAAAAGAGAGTTTATCCACTTTCGATTTTTCGTTCTTTGTCATATTGTGTTCGCTGCGTTGTTATTTCGAGCCCCGTGATGAAATTCAAAATTTACGTGTGGTTATTTGCAGCATTTCATTTTGTTGGCGTTTGATTTTTTTTCTTCATTTGTTCTTTCGCATTCCAAACGTTGAATGCAATTTAGCGTTGAGAAAATTAGCTACAATTCATGCATGTACAGGGGAAAAAACCCAGTTGTTTAACAATGTTTTTGTTGTTGTTGTTGTTTTTCGATTCGTTTGGAGATTGGCAATTTAAGGCAAAAGTCATATGATGAAAAGTGAACGACGACGCACAAAAACATCGTTTTACCGGAAAAAAGTAACAACAACATTTTCACCAACAACAAGAAACGACAAGCACCACTGTGTTGCATGCTATTTGTAGCGATTGAACTCGTACATGGAATAATAAACATAGTAATTTGTTGCGCTCTCGGTCGAACTTTAGATTTTGAATCATTCATTTTGTTCGTTCGCTCCTTACCGTTTTTTTTTCGCAAACCGTAATTTCACTATCTCTCTCTATCTCGTTCGCCCTTTCTCTATGTGATTTTTGGCTCTCGTTTCGGCTGTTGCTGCTGTGAAATCGAACGGTGACTTGTGCATACAAATTGCGTTCGGCGCCTTTGTATTCATGCACCCTCATCAGGGCTATTTTTCAATTTCATGCGACGTTGTGTTTTAGCCGAATGATTCGACGATGGTATTATAACGGAATATAGATAATCCCTCGAAAGATTTGGCATCCGCACAAATAAAATTTGTTGTGAAACAAGTATATAAAATGGATTTTTGGGCAAAACCAATGTACAATACATCAACATCAGAAGCATGCGTTTTTGTTGTATTCGGTGGTGGTACTGTTGCTGCTGATGTCGTTGTTGATGTCAAACACCAATACACCACCAATTTTTGCCAAAGTCGGAAAAATACGAGATGAACGACACAAACAAACCCATACATACAATTTTAAATAGAAAATGCTCTCGGCACCTATGTGCCTTTGTCCCGTTGTTTACTTTACAAAAAAACAAATGAACTTTTGATCAGAGATTTGTTTGCCAATTTTATATATGAGTCTGTGCTTTTCTCTCCTTTTCTTCTCATTCCCTTTTCTCGCTCAACAATATTTATATGCCGATGGCCGTATCTATATTTTTCTCCCTGTATAGATCTGTCTGCGCCATACATGTGTGGTATCTAAGGAAGAATTGGTGCCGAAAACCGGTGAGCCAAAACCGTAACTATTGCTGATAAAGCAATTCCGCATATTCCAAGCTGGTGAATGGATTCGAAATCAAACGTTGATTGTTCTGCATGATATTCACGTTGTCCATAAACTAGTGGCTCGTAACCAATGAATTGCCTGTGCAAGCGATAGTGAGCGAGAGAGATATGTGTGTGTGTGTGTGTGTGGTCGAGAAGCTAACTATCATCAGTCGAAAGTGCTTAGAATTTTTCCATGTGGACAATTTTTTTTTCTTGCTCTGTGTCTCTTTAATATCCCTCTGGTTGTGTTTAGTTGTGATTTGCGTTCTACTCTGTACACCTCTTACCATAATGCGGATTTTCCACAGAGCAAATACGTTACCTATATCGGTCCATTGAGCACAAAAAGCATTTCGAATGCAATTCAAAACTTCAACATCGAAACAAAGAGAAATGACTGAGATAATAAAATCGGTATATGTGCATGGAGATTTATGAGTTTATTTTACGACGCACCAAAAACACACACACAACTTTTCTCACTCTGTGATTCTTTCTCAAAACAGATGAGACTCTTTCATGTATAGTAAAATCCCCAATACAAATTTTGTGCACATTTATGTGTGGGTTTAAGTCGTCTTGATCTCACTAAAACGATATAACATACATATAGGTAACGATTTGCCAAAAATCAACCGACGAAAAAACTTATTTCAACAATTGCCGTAACGAAGGAACAATCTTCTTCAATGGGAGTCACACCAAGAAAACATTCATACATTCACACAAATCGTCTGACATCACACAAAAGACGTCACATAAACGACACAAAATAATATTGTTAATGGTATTTTAAATGAAAAATTACCTGAATTAGTTAGAGAAAAGAAGAGAGGATGATGCGTACGGTAGCACAAACAAATCTTGTAGGAGTTTGTGGACACTACAAAATGCGGTACATTGAAGAAGATGTATTGTTGATACAAACACACACACAAAACATACGATTTTTGAATGAAGAACAACAACAACGAAAAAATGGAAGAGAAACCACAACAGCAAGTAGTAACCCATAAGAAATATGTCATGTGATGAATGATCTCTATCAGTTTTTCGTCACCGCCTGACACAGTTATTTTGCTCAAGTCGAAGATTTTTCGCTTTGACAATCCCAGCGCGATATAAGTAAATATTTTCATGATTTTTCCCTGCGGAAGTTTATGAATTCCTTCCGTTTCCATTGTTTATTATGCACAGGAGGAATGTCTCTTGTTCTCTTCCCCCTCTCGTGCTTCCGATATCTTTCTCTCGGGTAATTTTTTTATCTGCAAGACACGACGTCGGGTATTTGCATTTTTTTTTGTATGCACGATATACAATGATAAATAACTTATTTTACTGTTGCGAGAGAGTATTTTTCATTAGAATTTAAAATTTTCTCTCTTTCGATCTTTAAGTTAAAAAAGTATAGTATCAACAACGTTCGCTGTTTAAAAAACCATCAAGCTAATGGAGAATATGATGACTGTGGAGAAAATGAAAATAAATATTTGTCATTTTACTTTCTCTCTCTCCATCTCTGCCCTTCTATCTCTTACTCTCACTCTATTTGTAACTGTACGTACGTACGCATTATACAAAAAAATATGAAAAGACAAAGTTGTTTGAATTGAAACTTATAATAAATGATGCAGAGGAAACAGAGCGTGGTCGAATGCTTAATTTTCTTTGTCTTTTCGATCGCAGTTGATGCGTATAATTCAACGACAACGGTGTGCGTTCAAAAATCAATCACTGTCGTCTGCATTTGGTGTGCTCTCAATATTATTTTTTTTGCATCGTTTTTACATATAAATATTTATTCATATACGAACGAAATTTTGATGATGACCAAATCTTGATTTGACCTAACGACCCACCCGTATATCTTGAAGGCAAATTGATGCAAACATTTTCCATATTCACCGTTTTTCGAATCCACTTTATAAAAATGTCCATCATATTTTCGGAACAGTTTGTTTATTCAAAGGGAAACGGTAGAAATATTTTCGTGCGTTTTTTTTGTGTGCTATTTATTTTTGATTTAAGTGAGTTAATTGAAGTAAATCAAACATTCATTTATATTTTTATATTCATTGTTTTCATATGCTTTATCCTCTCTCTCTCTTTCCATTCCCCCTATCTCGGCCGCTCATCACCAAAGCTAAGTGACGGAGTGAAGTGAATAAGTAAAGAAGGCTTTATGTCTTGAAAATAGATTGAGAACAGATGGGAGCGTGGCACCAGTGAAAATGTACATTCATCCAGCGTCGGAAAAATGATGATGGGAAGGCGGTGAAAAATGGCAAATCCATTTGCAAAAAGCCGCAGCAATCTATAAAAAATAATAACAATAATAATAAATAATAAAAAAAGGCAAACAACACATTAGCGTTCAGCGTCATTTAATACAATTTAAGCGACGGTTCGGTGTGTTTACTTGTCTGTATTTTATCAACTTTTCATTTTGAGCGGCTAATTTTATTTCAAATATACGCACCGACAATGAAAACGTGGAGCATTTTAAATTCGACATATTTATTATTAATAATATTCCATCATCTTCATTTCCAAATGGCGCGAATGAAACGAAACGGAACGTTTTTTTTTTTGGTGAATCGTTTGTTTCGTTGTCGAAGCCCAAAAGACGGATATAACGCATATCTCTCTGTTCCTTAATAATGTAAAAACGTGCGCATAAATCCAATTGACGATTTAGCTAAACGGTTTCCTGTTTGAATGTTTGTGCCATTCATTTAAGCTCCTGCACTGAATCCATCATCGTCATTTTGTAATAATAATCTCAACATTCGCTACTTCTTCTGAAATATAAGCAGCGCGTCGCATCTTCCCGAAAAAAATATGAGTTTTAGCGGTCGCCCAGAGCAATGCTCAAAGTATTTGCATACTGATAATGGCAAACGATGGCTTGTTGTTGCCTGTGAATTCATTTTTCTCTTTCTCGCACTCCATTTTTACGGGCTCAACATTCCATTGGCAAAACAAATGATTACAATTATTGTATTGCGCCATTGCCAGGAAGAGATGCTACATCCACACAAGCTATTGTGTGTATCTTGGGCCTCTAATCTTCGAATCATATTCGAGATAAAAACAAGAATCCCATTTCTATGGTGATTTCTTTCCGTTTTTTGTTTGCATTTCAACTAAATTAATTCATTTAAACAAGAAAATCGACTCGCTTCATTTTAATGTAAATATCATCTGCTTTGACCTGAATAAACAGTAAATTAAGAACGCCCAAATGCGATTTTAGTTCGTTTTCATTACGCTTTCATCTTTCATAATCTCCTCCTCCCTCTCTCTCTCTTTTACTTGCGCTCACTCCACAAAATATTTTTCGAGCAATAATTTTTTGCAATGAATCACAATTAATTCTCGAATTTATGGCCAATCGAAAAACAACAGAAAGACAAAAGTTAAACTAAAAGCACGATTTATCATTTTCGATTGATTTTCATTTGAAAATAAACGAGCGTACGCGCACCGCACATATAACATTTAAAAGTGCCAGTCGTTGGTTGTAAAAGTGAAAAAAATAGTCAATTAACCCATGCCATCGTTTTTACGAGCTATTTTTTGTGTGTCACACTACATAAAACAATGAATCTTTTCGCGCTCGAGCACAGCAATCACAGCGAAAGTATTGAGCATGCCGATTGATTTATGCACTTTCAATTTTAGTAACAACAGAGACGAAATGTTGATATGGTCTCGCTGAATTTTACCCGATTGAATTTTACCCGACGCTTGTCAAAAGATAGTCGAATTTTGTCTGTGAAAAGAGACGTCGGATAAAATTCATTTTAAGTTAAAAACGACTATGGTAGTTGATAGTTGTTTCAAAGAATTTAATATTCATTTTTTTGGGTTTTTTATAATTTTTTTCATATTTTCATTAATTAAATTAAAAATTGGTTTCGTATGTTATTCGAATCATTAATTGAGATAAAATTCGAAATTAATTGAAGATTTTCCTTGACATTTTCAGCCGGATCTAATTGGGAAGACGGCATTCAGTGTCATGGTCACGATCAGGTATAATATCATTGTATAAGTTATACATTTGATCCAGCGAACACCTTTCTCCACAATTCGGTATATTCAATGGCAAAAGGATTTCTTCCTCACATTTTCTATAGAAGATTTGAATATAATGCTCTTCTTTGCCAACTTTGTATAATTCCAAATGCAAACTCGATGCAAATGGGGGTACATGCGGCTGTGAACAAGAATAATTCATTTATTTAGCTTTCATATCAAATTTTAATGCATATAATTACCTCATCAACGCCAAGGCTGTGCAAAAGAGCAATAATTGTCGAATCGTGAGCAGAGTAGATCCACAGTGAACGATTTGGCTCCAATGTGGAGTTTATCTTTTGAGTGAATCTTTGGAACATTTCTTTAATCAAAAATCCAGAATACAGTCGAGCCAATTCTTTTGTAATCGTCAAAATTTTAAAGCCAAAATCTTTCATTGACTCCAAAGCACCATTTGGTTCAATGGCTTTTATTGCCCAATCGGGAAGTCTTCAAAATTAGATACATGAATATGGTTAGTTGAAACTGTATTACAAATAATTATTCGTTACGTTTTGTTATGAAGACTTTGGACAAGTAATACGTCATGTAAGCAGTAAAAATCATACATGGTCGTCAAATTCGATCCGCACATTTTCGACCAGTACAAGATATTTTCTTTATTTTCTTCAAGGATACGCAGCACTTTTGGTGACTCAATTTCGTATTTCTTGAGAGCAACAGAATATCTTGGACAATTACTGCCCCCACGCAACCAATAGTCATAATTAGAAGGCATTGTGTGAACTGGAGTCGGTTGCCATGCAATGTCTTCATTCCATTTTTCTTCAGCGTGTGGTGGAAATAGGCCAGCTAAATTGGCAAGTGCCGACATCAAAGTGCGATCTTCGTCAGACGAATGCACGTATACTCTCTTTGGTGAATATTTATCGCCAAGAAGTTTGTGATATCTTCTTCGAAAAAATTGTCCCAATTGGAATTGTTGTCTTTAACCTTCCTGTCAACGAAAGTTTTTAACAAAAACCATTTTTATTGAAGTACAATCAAAAGTATTTACATTTGTGAGTGCTCCGAATCCACCAGGCCAATGAGACTCATTAATATATGGGTCATTTGGATAAAGGTCAGGATAACTGTTAGTATTTCGCTGACCATGACGATAGAGCTATTAATTACATAGACTTTTAATTTACATCATTTATCAATTATTTATTTTTTGTTCTTACAACATGCGCAAATATTAATTGGCTTTCATTTGAAGGCTCAGGAGCACTTTTTCCTTCCAAATTATTTACGTTGTCGTGCGAAAATATATCACAGGCACAAAATAAGAAAAATATTAAAGCAATTACTCGAGAAGACAACATGTTTGAAAATCAAACCAATTTTGGACTGAACAAAAGTTTTTGACTAACTAAAACTGTTCAAAAACTGGATATTATATTTAATTCTAATATTATATTCTAATTTTTTTCAATTATAAAAGTTGCGGAAGTTATTATTGATAAGCGCACATGACAACTTAACTTAATCATAAACTGAAATGGACACTTAAATTTCTTATTTTAATTTTTAGTATTTGAAAATGAAATGATATCTAATCTGGCTCTAATCTCTTATTTTATTCATACATGTATAAAAATGATGTACACACTCAAACATGATTCAGCGACGAATAAATATTATTATAAAAAGATCGAAGCGTAAAAGTACTTTAATCGGGCTGATATAATTTGAAATTGATTTTTATGAATTTTGTGCGTATACCAGCTATAGTTTCGAACAAAATTCATTCGAGTATTATTGAGTTACCCATCGTTCGTGTGTTTTTGTAACGAATCCGAGAGAAACGTTTATATAAAATTGCCTTTATTTTTATTCTTTATTTGACAATGCGCAGAAATGTGAAATTTCAATAAAACGAACAATATGTTTTTATAAAAAATGAAATGAACTGCAAAATATACACGACATTTATGGCGGAAATGAATTTACTGTAGAACAAGAAAAAATTACTTCATGTCTTTATTTTTTATGTGTATATCTGTATCAAACAAGCGGTGCGATACAAGTTGGCAAAATTCCACTCTGCCGCGCTCGATTTTTACGAGCGTAATTTAAATTTACGGCGAATTTAAAATGACAGAGTTACACTTATGGAGCAATTTATTCATAATTTTTCAACAAAATTTAATGCCTTTGATTGTTGATATGTTCGTAAAAACGAGGATTACTCTCACTTTCTCGCTTCGCAATCTCTTGCTTATGCGTGCCGACCTATTCACGTGGAAAATTTAAATCCGACCATCATTTTCCGCACAATGAAAAATGCGTCCAATTTTTCATTCAACTCCTTCATCATTTAGTTTTGCGTATGCAATGGTACAAGTCAATTGAAGTTTTTCATACACTTAAAATTAGAATGTTCACCCATCGCAAGCCATACTGACAACATACTACAAACATTTTTTTCCCTGTTCGTTTCAAAGTTTATCTTTTGGAAGATTGACGCGAAATTCCTGACGCAGTCAGTCAAGTCATAACTTTGGTGTGAAAGTGCTTACCATCTCAAGACATACGTATGCCAAGATAAAGAGAGATCAAATAACATCCATCCCTTCAAGCGAACGGAAAGAGAATTGCGCTCTTGATTTTATGAAAGAAGTAAAAAGCACTTCATCATAAGTTCATTCGACACAAGTAGGTCGTTTACCTTGTGAGCGTTTATTTTGTTGGTGTAAAATCAACCAACAAAGCCAACTGCAGTAGCGCAAACAATTTATTTAAGGAGTTTTGTACACACACATATATATATATCAACAATGAACGACACATTGTTTGACTTAAGCCAGCAAACTATCGACGCGAAAAATAAAAAAAGAACAAACAATATATAAACGCAATATAATCTCTGAGATTCAATACACATTCCAATATATCAATATACGTTTATAGGGCAGAACGATAAACTAGATAAAAGCAAAAAAACAACGATAAACGGCAAAAAAATTGACTTGCTTCATATATGAAATTGCAAACGCGTGCAGAAAAAAACAACTAGCACCAATCATTGTTATTGCTGCTGAATGAAGATAAAAAAGGCGGAACATAAAGGGAGAAAATGAGATTGTCCGCATCAGAAGCAAAATCAGAAATATTTATCACTGAAATTGAAGTTGAAGTATCAAATTCGCTAGTAACGATGTCGTCCCGTTGTTTTTATATATACATGTGACATATAGAGAGAATGCCATCAAATATGGAGTGGTTGATTGGATCAATGCAATGAGTCGCATTGAAAATCACAATATTGTATCACTCTAGCGACCAGTTGAGTGAGCTCTGTATTATATCGAAAATGATAAAGCATAAAAGGATTTTCTGTTGCGATATAAAAATAACCGTGCAATCCATTTAATGGATTTGAGTTTGATAGAGTAAAATGTGATTTTGTCCTTGAAATTCAATAAATCTAATAATGTTGAGAGTCAACACAAACGCACTTCATATTCAATTGGAATTGATGTTTCGTTGCTGTTACGCTAAAAAGGTTTGTTACTCTTGAGCCAGCCGATAGCGGTACACATTCCATAATTGAATCGAACATAATGACACTCAATGGAATAATGTGATATTTTTGGTTCTTGCAAATGGAATCAAATGAAATTTGATACATTCATCGGCTATGGCCATTTTACTTGCCTCATTTCTATTGTTTGTGTGATCGATTGCCTAAAATGGCCATTGTTTTTCATCTTACCCTTCAAATTTGATTGAAAGTGATCCGGTAGTGCACACTCTATGTATGTACCTAATTATAATTAGTTTTCATTCGAATGTGTGACAGCAACGTCTATAATTGCTGCCGGTATTGTTTCCAAAAGACGGATTACGTTAAGAGACCAACGTCATAAATCTTCTGGGTGCCAACAATGGGGACCAATCCAAATAAAACGCTCATAAAGTCAATATAATATATATAGAATTGTATAGATGATTTTCTCTTTATTTACACAAGAAGAAAAGAAAACAAAAAAAATAACATAAAAAAGCGATAAATTTTGAATGCGATTTTAAATTGAATCCAAAAAATTATCTAAAGTTGTTGTTTCATTTTTTGTCTCTGTTTTTTTTTAATTAAATAATTTTATAAACCATTTCGAAATATTTTGTAGTTTTTTTGTGTTGTATTTATGTAATGTTGCTCTTTTTTTTCGTTCACATAGTGTTATAAGCAGAGGTTGAATTAAAGTGCTCTTTGAGTCTTGCGAAGGATTGATTATTTTGATGTAGTGGTTTGGATAGTAAAATGTTGGCAGGTTTTGAAGCAACAACAATCGATGCATGCGGAATTGGTGGCGGTTTTGGATGAATCGTATTGTGTGGTGATTGATGGATGGTGTGTCGTTTGAAGCGCGATATTAGTGGAGTGGATGTGGTAGCAGCAGTGGTGGTGGTTTTGGTCACTTCATATTTATCCACCAACCCTTTGACGTTGATCTCTTCGCAGCCCAATTTATCATAGTTGAGCTTAAGAGTTGCTGGCGTTGCTGGTGTTGTCGATTCATTTATTGGATTTGTCACCATTGGCATATTATTCGAATAGACTGATGCAACTGGCGACGAGGGTAGCGATTTACCACGTTTTGCCTCTTTTGCAATGCCAATGTTTGACGCATCATTCGGTTTCGATTCGAAATTCAATTTAAGATTCTCAACGGTTTGACAAAGTGTACTACGATTTTTACCATGACGTTTTCCTTTGATTTGAATGTTGTGTTTGTTATTGTTATTGGTTGTATTGAGACGATTGTTCCATGTGATTGCTGGTCGATTGTTAAACGCTTTTTCCGTATAATCCGATGGCGATGAAGATGAGAATCGTTTGTTAACCGTTGCCAATAGTTCCGATTCGTATAGCATGCCATCACTTTTGCAGCGCTTCTTTATTCGTTGCATAATATCTTTGGAAAATTGATCGGCCAATCGAGCGATGGTCATGTTCACAAAACTGGCTTCGCTATCGCTGTCATTGAGCAAATTACGTTTATCAATACCGAATGCCGGCAATATGTCAACCGATTTGTTTGAGTTGGCATTTTGATTTATCGATTTAACTGAATATGCATTTCGAAGATTTTTCACATTTTTCGAGCCCGTTTTGCATAAATCGTTAATGAGATCGGTGGATAGTGAAACATTTGATGACGATGATGAATTCGACGACGATGAACCAGATCGAGACGATAAATTGTTGTTATTGTTACTATTGTTGTTATTAATATTATTGTTATTATTATTCGTGGTTGGATTGTAAAATCGGCGAGTCCATGCCGGTGAAACATTCGGATTGGATATGGATACTGTCGCTGCTGTTGCGGGTGTTGTATTTGTAACCGCTTCTTCATGAAGTGAATGTCGATTGTTTGGACTACCAAACGGTGGTTTGTTTGTATTTATTGTCGATGTAGGTGCATTTATGGCAGTCATGGCAGTGCTGGTAATCATACAATTCGCGACATCCAAACTCCTTGATTTCATAACTGGACTGTATTTTTCGGACGTTTCATAGTCCGATCGCGATTTATTCGATTCGCTACGCTTAAGTGAACCAAATGGCGACGTTCTATCACATGCTGATGATGAGGATGATGTTGATGTTGATGATGATGATAATAATGAGGAAATCGGAGGTTTTGTAACAACGCGCGCGGTTGCATTTAAATTCGTATCGGTCGTATTTATGTCTTTATTGACAATTTTACCCTCCGACAGGCGCTTCACATTCGATTCCAATTCGTTCACAATTAGCTTAACATTGGACATGCATTGTTGCATCACATTCGATTCTTCCAGGTGAAACACCTGATTTTGTGAGACACTATAGTTTTGCCCATTTTTGCATGGTAATCGCATGTTATTTTTCAGTTTAACCTTTTCCATGCATTCGGGCGGCAAATGCTCCAGAGACTGTGAATGTTGTTTGGGCAATAGAATTGCCGACTCAACGCTATCGGGTGACCAACTTTTTGGTCGATTTTTCAGCGTTGCACAACGACTTAAAAATGAATTTTCATTTTGTTTTTTCGCTGCCGCATTGAACGCTTGTATTAATGGCGTTGGCTCACTCCCTGGGAGTAATCGTGCATCTTTTACACTTCGTAAATTTGTATCGCTTTTGCTGCGTTGCAAAAGTTCTTTGTTTTTCATTGCCATCAGCATGCCTTGGTACGTTTCCAATTGATTTAGAAAATTTTTGTTTGGCTTAATGCAATTTCGATTGTTTTTCACGTGATCGATTGCCTCAGCAAAACTCCAACCGTATGCTTTCATTGCGTATGCTATCACAACCGATGCCGAACGACTAATTCCCATTTTACAATGGACTAGAACATTTGAGCCCGAATTTTTTGCATTCGATATATACTTGTACGTATTATCCCAATGTTTCAGCAAATTTGTTTTGTCATCGTCATAAACTCGAACATTGCAATAGTCGAACATGCCGGGAAAGAAATTGTCGATTTCACGTGTCACATTTAGAATGTGACGAACCCTGCAAATGGAGAAATGGTAGAGAGGACGAAAATTAATCAAGAGATTTTTGGTAGAATCAATGTATTTTGTGTGTGTGCGTGATTGATAAAGATTAAATTGAAAACTTGATTGAAAACGAACCCATTTTTCTGTAGCTCTTCTAAATTACTAGCATTCCATTCCGAGCCCAAGTAAACATGGTCAAAGATTTTCGTCGGTGCATCCAATTGCTTTAGTATTTTCAGCATTTCTTCGTCAATATATGATTTGTATTCGGTAAGATTCATGTCAAGATGCTCTTCCAATTTTGTTCGAATAAATTTTGATGTCACTTCATCGAGATCGAGTTGTACGATAATTTCTTTTAGTGTCGTTCTAATCACTCTCTCCGTTTCCTCACGTTCAGTCGGTCTATGAAAAACAAGAAGCGGAAGATAATTTTAATTATGTGCCTTTTTGTTTCTATTCTCATCGATGTTATTTTATGTCATTGTGTAAAATAGATGAGGTAATTGGAGCGCATAATTACTTGGTGCGTATGGCATCTGGTGACGGTGGTCGTCGTGTTTCAAGTGAATCCATTGCATTCCATTCGTTTAAGCACGATTGCTCTGATCTGATGCGTTCGTCATAGTATGAAACCCATTCATGTGACGGCCCACTAGGATATAAATTATTCTCTCTGGCTTTTGCACACACTTTGTGCAATGTTTGCAGTGCAGACCTACGTGCGATGAAAAAGAAGATAACAACAATCGAATTGATTTTAAACTCATTAGAAGTCCAAGAAGAATACAAAATTTAAAAGAAAAATCAGTATCGAAACGGACGGAGATTTGCATATGAATGACATACCACATTGCCTGCACTGAAACTGGTTTAAAAATATGCGTGCGTCCGCTGCCACTGATGCAAAACCCACTGTAAAAATAGAATTTGAAAATAAGCCGTGTTTGTGTGTGTGTGAATGTGATTTGAATTTGAAATCGAAATCGAATTAGATTCCTTACCCATCGCCATCCAATCGAATCGTGGTGTCACCGAGTATGCGTAAAACTAAGCCAACTGTGGTTTTTTCATTGCAATCAATGCCTAACAAACACGACTCTTCCACCTCGTTCATATTATTCGGGTTCATCTCATTGAGTTGATCAGGTTGATGCGGCTGCTGCAGCGACTGCGGTTGTTGATGCTCTTGTTTCGGTGAAGTTGATAGTCGATTCAAATTGGTCGGATCTTTTTCGATGATTCGGTGCTTTGTGCCACTTTTTAACGATGTTGCAATTAGTGCGGGCGAACTTATCGATTGTTGTGATTGCTCCGATTTTCGTTGCACACTTGGCGTTGTGCTTATATTATTATTTTGATTTTCATTGCTGCCACATCGATTATTACTACTACATTTATTGTTATTGATATTTTGAGCGTTAATTAAATTATTATTAAAATGTTGCTGCTGTGGTTGGGACTGAGTCGATTTCCGTTGAGCAGGTTTCTGCGAACAAGACACCACCACTAAATATCGTGTACGACCGTATCGGGCACTCTCCAATTTAACCGCCTATTTTTAAAAGAAAAACGAAAAAAATCGAAGAGCATTATAAATTAATATCAGCTTAAAGCCCTTTTTCTTCTTTTTTTTTTATTTAAAAAAAAAGGTAACAAAAGGAAACTTTCAGAATAGAAAAGGTGTAATTTTTTTTTGTTCTAAATAACTTCAGAGAATTGGAAACAAGCCAATCAATAGTAAAGATGTAATGGAAAATGAAAAATGGATCAAAGGGAAAAAGGCAAAAAAGAGTATATATATATTGAGTTGTTACCATTTTCAATGTTTCCTCATTCCGAAGCAAGTGGAACATCGACTGTAAATGCTTGTGAATATGCCCGTCCGCCATGGTTATAACTTAAAATTACGTTGTATATCTGTTATTTAGAAAGAACTGGACATAATTTCTGTACGATTTAATTAATCGCTGCTACTGTTTCTTCTCCTCCTTTGTCTTCTCTCTCCCTCTTTCTCTTTCTTTTTGTTAAGTTATCTCATGTAATGCTCCAATGTTTTTCTGGTTCATTACATTTGCTGTCGAGTTGTTGAAAAATTATATGTTGTGTTTTCTTTTTTTCTTTTTGTCAAACAATGATTGATGAAGATGTGTTACGACGTTCCGTGTCGAATCCGTGGCCAAGAGACGGCAACTGTACGGGCGGCGATATAAGAACGCAATCGTCACTTTTCTCCTATCTCTTAATTCCTATTGTGATGTTCGTTTCATGTTTCAGTTGTGTTCTTTTTTTTTATTTTAATCTGAAATAATCAAAATGAGATTGTGATTTATTCACGCTTCAAACAATTCAATAAAAAATATATATAAATTCTTTTTTTTTCATTCAATTTTAAATTAACTTAATTACTAACGAAAAAAGAAGATATGAAATGTAGTCGAGTTGATCATTTTCAATTCGCTGAGTGACAGAGAGACAAAAAAGCCATTGTTATTGAGAGCCAACAAAGCTGAAAAAATCACAACAAAATGAAACTAACGTCAATTTTCCGTTGAACATCGCTTATATTTATAAAGTGTTCATCACACATTCATCGATTGTGGACGCGTTCACTCACTCCGTAGACAGATTTTATTTTCTCCACTCTGTTGTGATTCATGAGCGGGTGCGCGCACACTTTTAATTTAAGACTGAAATGATAAATATCTCGGTGAAAATTTAAATGGCCACATATATGCACGTTTGCACACACACACTGTGTGTGGTTGTGTGTTGAGTTCAGCTCAAAAGCAAAAAAAGGTCATATCAAATTTGATTGTCTGTCGCGCTCTATTGTGGTGCATGAATTGACCTTTATCGTTATATAAAACGGGCACTGTCTGGCAAACACTTCACATATGCATCACGTCACTTTATTTTCCATTATTTTTTTTTTTTTTGAATTAAAGTGAACGATGCCAATAAAATGGATTTGAACATGAGAAGACCGAAAAAATAAACAACACGAGTGCGATAGACTATTGAGCGTTGATAGCACGTACGCCTCCTGGATATCTCAAAATTAAATTCCGCAAACATATAAAGCACACAGGTCGAGATCACAACAAACGTCGATTCGGTGATGAAAACACCGCAAAAAATGTTGTATGTGCGCGATTTTGTGTTTTTTCGTCTTTTGTTTCGACTGCCACTTTTGGTGATGCGCAAAACATGAACGCGTGCAATTTTTACACGAGTAATTCAACAAAAGTGAATTTTATTCATCGAAACTGATATATTCGACTCTGTTGCAAATAACTAGTTTTGTTTACTTCATATATTCTTTATAGACAGAGACACAGAGCAGCTAAAAAATGATCGCAAAAAAATGAAAAAGAAGAAGAAAAACGTTGAAATGAGAGGAAAAAAAGCATCGAGATGTATGTGTGTCTGTTTATGGTTGCCAAATCCATTTTTTTGCAGTTCGAGAAACGCTCGACGAGAGAGAGGCAAACAAATGAACAAGCAAACAATCAGCGCATATAACTCAGTGTCTGATCCGTTTTGAGATTAGAATATGCAAGCACACGATATATTTAATTACTAATTAATATTTGCGCGAGGATTTTCTCGAGTCAATGCTGTCGCTGTACACCATGAATCAAAATTTATTATTAAAAATTAAGAGAAACAGAAGAAATAAACAAAAGTAAGAAATTGAATTTTTGTTTTTGCTCTTTTTTTCCGCCGTTTTTAGTTTTTTTCAATTCCGTTTTACTAGTCCGATTTATTTTTGTCGATTATGTGTTATGGTTTTTCTCGCGAGAAAAAAAAGTGAATCGATATGCTCCTTGCACTTGTTTTCGTGTAAAAAGATGTCGAATGAGAAAGTGATGATGCGATTTAGCCAGAAATGTGAATGCGCAATTAGAGTTGTGTGTTTTTTTCGCGCAATTCCTTTTTATGCGCTGCTTTTCGGTTCAAAATTCGGACGATGTTTATTATCTTGTGTTTTTTGCACTGTCGAACATGCGCCGATTCATTGTGAACTCTTTTTTTGTCGGCGTTTCATATCTATAATTTTCTGACGACAAGGAAAATGTTTCTTTTTTTCGCTAATGCGCTATTATATACCATTGGTTTTAAAAGCGGCGCGTATTCTCATGTTTGAAGAGCGCATTTAATAAATACGACATTGGTTCGTTTACACTATATACGATGGAAATTTTCGTTGTGTCGCAAAACAGCAATCTATCGGCAAAACGACGACTTTTGATTCAAGTTTAATTTCGTTTTCGAAAGCAAATGCACACACACACGCTTAGTATGTTGTATGTCGAGTAACGTCTAATTTAATGTGCGAATTATCATCGGTGACGCCACTATGGCTGTTTGGTAAGCCGCGCAAATATAAGGTGTGTTCGTACGCTATTATGTTACTTGTTGTGTGTTTTTTTTTTTTAATTTTGCGTTCTCCACACTCTTTGCTAGCTGTGGCTAGTGCGCGCACACTGGCAGTGTGCAAGTGAGAGAAAGAGCTTCGAACAATTGAAACGATCTAAATAAGCACTGACTTTTTTTATTATTATTTGTTTATTTGTTTCATTTTTTTCCATTGGTTTGAATGTTGTTTGTGTGTTTGCAGTTCGACGGATTGAATGAAATACGGCATTGAGAGCACAATATGGTTTAAGTGCTGCAATATGATACACAGATATACACAAAAGCCGCTACAATTTAGATACTTACGATCGTTCGCTCGCGCGCACAAACATAAATGTTCATGCGCTGCCGTAAAAGTCGTGCTTCCTTAATTGCTAAATTTAGTAATAGTGCAATTTCGTTTTCACGTTTTCGTTCATGCTTTTCGCGGGCTGTCGTACTCTCTTTTTTATGAGTGTGATTGTCTAACTCGCTCTCTCATTTCAAATCATATATGCATAATTTGCTTTTATTCGTAGCTGTATTACATTTTTCATGCCAAATTTTCGATTTCGGTTGTGTTTTGTTTTGTTTTGTTTTGAATAGTTCCGTTAAGGTAAATTATGATTACATTTTTTGTTTGTTCGTTCGTTTTCAGACAAATTTCATTGTTGTCACTGTGTATTCGTTAAAATGTGCTGCTCTGTTTCATGTTTTTCAACTAAACACTTCCGAAATTTGTGCACAAAACACAGCCTATTTGCTCAATTTTTTTTTTGACAAAGATGAAAACAGTGGAAAATTACACACAAATTTAAACACAAAAAACACCCTCTCTAATTTCGTTGTCTATTTGTACAGCCGTAATGATGACACGGCGTAGAAGAGCAGAAAAAAAATATGATTTTGCAAAAAAAGAGAAATCGGTAAAAAGTCTATCTCGCATCACGTTGGCAGTGCGCGCACAATGCGAGAGGCACGAAAACGTAGGATTCAGTTCGCTTAAAATATATGCCTTTGTTTAGAATGGCTTTTATTGCTCGTAATGAACATTGATGATCTTCTCATTGCAGCGCGGCTATAGTGGATACACACACTTTGTCGAATGACTTATGTCATTTACGAGCAAATAAAAACACTTAAATTGATTTTTACAGACGTAAATGCTACTGGGTCATTGATTTTTTTCTTCTTCTTTCGAACGGTGCCTCCTCTCTCTCACTCGCACTCTTTACTCCTCGTTGCTCGCACACTAAATTTGCTTACTACATGAGTGTGATCGTCATCATCATCAATTCAAATGACACTAACGCGAGAAAATTCCACGGAAATGCCGCACCAAGCCCGAACAATTCGAGACTTTTTGTTTGACCTTTTTTTCACTGTTTAAATTTGTCAGCGTTTTTGTATTTGACCAAATTGACTCTCTGTTTCTGTCTCTTAAAGAACATGCAATTTGTTATTTACGACAAATAAATCAAGTGAGATAAAGACATTTGTTTGGCAAATTTTCACGTAATTGTTGTGAAATTGCTTTAGAAGTACTTGGAATGATGAAGAGATTTTCTTTGACAAAGTTATTCATCAAACAAAGTAGAGTTTGATCGATACTTCAAAGTTCGCATTACTTTGACACAGAAATTGTTTGTTTTCTTTTCGTTCTCGGATCAAACTTTTGGAATTTCTTCGAAAAGAGTAAAGATATTTTACACTTGAAGAATAAAAAACTGTTTTGTAATCAGTGACACAAAGTCTGAACTCTAAATGGCTTCTGTTTTGAACTTTCCTTTGACACTCGAAAAACGTTTTTCGCCACTTTAAAAGACTCTTTTAACTCTTATAAAAGTCGTGCACCGTTTGAACTCGTTTTGTAATCGTGGAAAAAAGAAAACGTTGTTTTCCACTCAAAAAATATATCTTACACTCACGACGCGAAGGTTTTAGCTAGCGTTGTCCAATGTCGATCTCTTTATTATGAATGTCTAAAAAGAAAAACACGATGTTCATTCATTGAGTTTTTGACGCAAAAACGGTTTTTTTTCACGCAAAGAGCGAGAGATCACTTTCGCTAAAAATACACGGGCGTTAGGAAATAAAATTGTATTCGTTGAGCGCGTCTCATTTTTTTCCAATGTCAACCGGACGAGTTTTCCGCCGAAATGAAATGTACTATAAAACGTGCCGTGGTGACCGTCGCACCAATTTATATATTTGATTCTATTAAATGTGTGAATTTTATGAATCGCTATCTCCTTTATAATACAATACACTAGAGCGACAAGCACGTTCGACCGAGATGTGCTCATGAATGTGTATATGGCTGGCTGGGGTCGGGTCCATGGTTAACGGATTTTTTCTTCTATAAAAAAATTGTCAAATATCGATTTTTATGCGAATAAAACACTTGGCTAATAACCTCGGAGCAGATTCGTTTTGCTCCCTGTCTCTCTCTCTCTCTATATCTCTTTTTGTCTCTCAGTCTCTCTCTTTACTTCCCTCTTTTGTCTTTGTATCGACGTTGCCTTGAATGAGTGCGTCTTATACGAGGAAAATCATAAAATTGGAAAAATGATTGCTTCTACGAAGCAAAAATAAACTTGATAATTGACAGTATGTAGAAAACAGATCAAAGCGAGAAAAATTCGCATGCTTGAAATAAATTTCCACATCGTTTGTAGTTGAGGCAAGTCAAAGTTTATTGAAAACGACTGTAATGAATGAAATCCAAGGAATAGAGATAGAAAGAGTGCTAATAACAAACATCGCACATCGCACATCAATAAGTCATCATTTTCATGTGAAACAAATGTGTCTATCTAAGCTATTTGAATAAATTTCTTTTGTTTATTTAAAACGTACTAATGAAACGGTACATGCGTTGATTTTTGATAATCATTCTAATTGCTTGTTTTAAATTAAAATATCATACTCGAAATCATAAGAATAACAAAGCTGAATGTGAGTGTGCGATTGAAATGCATCATCATTGAAATGCGATACAAAGAAACTGGCGATAATATGAATAGGCAAAGCTATAGGCATTATAGATGTTGATTCAGTACAAAGTATGTTTCCAATTTTGTACGCGAACAGTCAAACTGCGGCGAGTTTGTTCATTCATTTTATTGATTCATGTCAATATTGGCGCTGTTGCAATTGCATGTTTTTAACAACGTTGGCATGACTATCGCGGTCTGTGTTCTATTCGAAATGCGCGATTCGTTGGTTGGTGTGTGCGTTCTAAATAGCGAAGAATTGCGCCTGGGCTCTCTTGTGTGCACATATATATATATGTATAATATCGTATATGCGTGGATGCGTTCTTCTCTTTTTCTTTCTTTTATTTCAATGCAATGCACATTCTACATTGTGTACAACATTTTGCTTTATTGATTTTTTGTTGTTGCTGTTGTTGTGTTTGAACTGGGTACAAATATACACAACAACATTCCAATTCGATGGAAGACTTTTTATGGTTACGACAATAACAATAATAATCGACAAAAGAGTGCATACATGAGCGCGAGCGCACTTTATTTCAGCTGTTTCGTGTTCGATTGAAATCCCTAAGTTCCATTTGTTATCGCTTAATTCTTCACCATTTGTTGTCGTTCCGTACACACGAATTAATGGCTTTGTAGTCGTTAGTTTATTGTTGTTATCAGTCAAATCGAAAGCAATTGAATCCGATGTTATTTTTACGCCAATCAATTGAAATTTATCATTTATGTTTTTAATGCCGTTGGCCATTGGGATGGGTGGTAATTAACGTAAGAATTGGAAAAAGAAACGGTTCATCACCCAAATATCGAATGCAATTGTTGTTTTTTAAACCGTCACGACTCTATGACGCGTGTCGTACTCATTCCGTAAATATTTAATTTCAACATCGTCGACAGATAGGCCTATTTCAAATTCGGTCAAACATCTAAAATTATTCCAAACATTTGGACTATTCAAAATATCTTTGATTTACAAATAAACTTCAATTATTTGCAAATTTTATGGTTGATTATATGGAGAGAGAAAAGAGGCTAAAATGTGGTAAATTTTAGGCCGAAACCTGTTTGCCTCTCTGTACGAATTCATTTGGAACACAATGTAAAATCCAAAACCGTAATTCAATGCAGTAAAATGGCGTAAGCGGCTGTTGTGCTGAGAAATAAGAGAAAATCTTACGAAATTTCGTCACATACAATGGCAAAATAGTAATAATTATTTAATTGAGTTTCCAGCAATTCTCAACATCATTTATGTGAATTGTATGAACTTTAGAGCGCGCCCGAGAGAGAGCAAATGTTTATGCAATTCTTACGCTGCAGCCTCCAGTGGTATTTCTCGTTTAAAGTTATTTTTTTTCTTTCGCTTTTGTACACAGCCCGACAAGAGATAAATGGTTTTCCATTCATGTGTTTCGATTTGATTTTTACTCGGCGTTGAATTCAGCAGTGACAAGAAACAATAAAACCGAACATATAAAATGCCAATGTAATGAACAACCACAATTGCACCATTTTAAAAAAAGCAGGTACATTCGAAGTTCAAACCGAAAAGAGATCATCTGGAGCGATCTATCCAATTTTAAAAAGCCACAAGAAAGAGCACTTCAATTCGAATAATATGCATTTCAACACGCTCAATGCCCCCTATTTTTTTTACACAATCCCATTTGCACAATCGTTTGTTTGTTTACTTTTAAAAATTATTTTGTTTTTTCGTTTTATTTATTTATTTTTGTTTTTATAAAAATGTGTTGTGATGAAAACCAAAACAAAATACCGGAAATTTATCTCTTGATTCGATCGAATGTGTGCAATATTTAAATTGCAATTTTCTTGGGCTCAAAACCTCCAAGAAATAGTTCAATATTTATTTAATTTCACTTACAGATTCTCACACACTTAATGCACACAGCAACAGCAAGAGAGATAGAGCCGATGTGTACGCTCACTCACTTGGTCAAAAGAGTAAAATTTTGTCTTGAGTCTCGTTTTTCTTCTCTTATGGTTCCACAGACACTTGAAAGAGGCAACACGGCTAACGGTTTCTTCAGTAATAATGAATATGTACACAATAAAGATCTGTCATACCGAGAAAAGTAACCGCGAACTCGCGCTCTTAATCAGCGCGCGCGAGCGGCCAATGTAGTTTTACACACGACGAAAGTACGAACCAGAAAAAAAACAACAACATCAACGAGTGTGTGTGTGTATAAAATTGTAGAAGGCAAAACAAAAATACACACAACCGACACAAAACTACTCAAAATACCGTCTCTCATACACACATCAATCGCTATATCTCTTTTTCTCGGTCGTGCTCTCGATGTAGAAGAAAAAAAAATCTACCGAAAAAAAAACAGCAACAACACACAACAATCTCAATACAATAAATGTCAATAATGAAAAACAGAATCTTGTTCAGCGAAACTCTAGCAACTATTATGAATACACGCGCAATTTTTTGCACTCTTAGTTCCGTGCATGTTTTAGGTGTTTTTTTATATATTGCCAGCCAGTCAGTCAGCTATACACAGTACAAAGAAAACGGCTGTGACGAAAACCAAGACATGTATATGTAAACGAATGTGTGCATTTGGCACTGGCCGTCCGTGTGTACAACACGTCTATATCGATACATTCGGCATTGGTCTGTGTGTGTGTGAATGCGTGTAACTTCTCTTGCATGTCTTTCTTTGGTGCTGCTTCTCGTTTTCAAAAAAAAAAAAAAACGACTGTCAGGTTCGACACAACAACGATTTGTTGTTGTTGTAATTGCTCTCTTGTGCTGGCTGATGTTGTGTGTTTTTACTGCTGTTTTGTACGTGTGTATGCGTGTACGTGCGAGTGTGTGCGTGTTGCTGCTGTTGTCTGTTTCTTCTTTTTTTGGTTATGCTGTTGCAAATATTTTCGTATGGAATTGTTTTGCAAAGCACATATCTATACACAAAAGGGAACTACCATCTCGCGTTTAGCTCTGGTTTTTTTTCTTTCTTTCTGTATTTCTTGCGTTTTTCATCTCTCTCGCAGCACACTCTCAGTGCTGCTGATGTAAAATTGTATGTGCGAAGCGAATTTTTTCAATGACAATGTTGAAGGAAACCAGATTCTTTTGCAAAAATGACTTTGACTTCGATGGGGAAAAACTTACATTTCCATTCGTGAATTTTTTCAATGCTTCTTGCAAAATTGGAATTTCCTTTTGCAATCCGCGGTGCACACAGGCTGATTGTTCTAGTTTCACTCATTCACTCAGCTCCATGGCTAATTATCATGCACTTTCAATAGTTTTGTGCGAAGGTTCTTTTTCTTCTTTTATACCTTTTGTTGGTTTCGCCACTCTCACAATTCGATGCTTGTTTTTTCTAATTCTCTCCTCTCTTCCTATATTTTATTTTCAAATTTTTTACATGCACACAATTCAAGAAGACGTATGTTTTGTGCGAACATTCGTTTTTTTTTTTCCTTTGTCGTTTTATTTATGTTTTAATTTGCTTTTCACTGAACACATTGGATTTTTTTTTAAAATTTATGTTATTTCTGTTCTTTATTTTGATTTTCAATCACTTTATCAATATCAATGAAAGGTTCACACTAAATATATATCACTAAATGCTTATGAGAAAACATGAGAAAAAAATTGAAATTAAACATCGATTTCAACTATTTCACACCGATTCGATTTGATTTTCTTCTTTTTCATTCTGTTTGCATTAAACGTTCATTATTCACAAAGTTGTTTTGGGAAATTTTTGTGAGTTTGTTTCTTTTTTCATGGAATAAAAAAATATATATATAGAGGAGAGAGAACTAAAAAACAACGACACGAATTCTATTGTGTGTAAGTGTTACTGAAAATGATTGTATGCACTTTGATGGCAATACACTATAGAAAACAGAAAAAATATTTAATACAGAGAAAAGAAAGAAGTAAAAACACAGTACAACACTGACACACAGCTTGTACGAACTGTCAAATCGTCAAAGAGGTTGCACACACAACTTTGCATTTAGCAAACACACAATGCTATGGACTTCTTGTGTTCACTTTTACCAATAGGGATTCATAATATAGAATGTTGGATTTAAATACCAGTTGCGCAATTATGGTATTTTAATAATTTAAAACATTAGAATTGCTGGTTTCATTATAAAATCATTAAAGGCAGTCATTTTTGTTTAATTTAAATTCGATACCGACAGAAATTTAATACCAAATGTTGATAAAAAAATTAACCAAAAAGTAAGACAAATCTGATTTCATTCAGAAAAGCTAAATCGTCAAAATGACGCCATCTATCGAAAATTGCTAGCATTTTTTCAAATAAAAATGCACTTTTACCTCAGTAAAACCTGTTAATTGTAATTTCTCGCCAGAAACAAATTACGTACGAAGCAAATAAGATTATCGAGTTTTTTTAACGCAAACATTGTTATTTAACTTAAAGTAACCGTGAAATTGAGCGTATTAGCACTTTTTTTTTCCAGTGATTTGGTTTTCGAATAAATCAAAACTCGATGGACGACCCAATGATCTTATGTCGTCAGTGTAATTGAAATTGTCTATTTTTTGCATGACGAAATAATGTGTTTTTTTTCGTTTCCCATTACTTTAGTAAATTGCTCTTTTAACACCGACAAAATTGTTTGCAAAGTGAATAGTTTCTTCTTCTTCTACGAATTAGTTCTTAATATCGAAAACGAAGTCAATGCTTAACGAAACGGTTTATTATCCGCAACTGTGACCAACTGGGTAAGAATAAGCGACAATAATCACCGAACTATAAAAATTAATTTCAATTACTTCACATTCAATTGCAATCAATTCCGGCAAGCATTATGCATAACTCAATATAGCGAAAAAAGAGAATCAAAATTGCAAATTTACTTTAAGATATGTGACTTTTTTTTTCTCTATTGAAATCGAACCGAAGAACCGTCTGCGTTTGTGTCTATTTAAAATAATCGAAATTGAAAGTCGATTGAACGCTCCAATTGTTGTTGTTTTCGATAAAGTTTCGCGATAAGAGGAAATTATGCAATTGAAAGCAAAAAAAAAAATCCCACCAACTTGAAGAATATTCATTAAATGCAAACGCATCAAAATTCATATAAAAACCACTTGACATGTATCACGTTTCATTCACAAGTGTTCGGAACGCATCCAAATCGGTTTTTAATTCAAATCATAGCCCATTAATAAAAGTTCTCTTTATTAAATATGGTGATTAGTTTTTGTGTTCACAATGAATTATTCATTTTGCTTGAGATCATTTTTCTATGTTTTTATGTTAATAATGATGTGTCATTTGGATATTTTTTTTTTCTAAATTGATTAGATTAATGTCTTAGTTCTTACTACTGAATTTTCGATGAAAAGTTTTGACTCAATGGATTTTTCTCATTTCAGTTCTTGCGAATATCGTTTGTGGTTGGAATGCTGTGTGTATGGTGCGTCATAGGTGAAACTATGCCAAAAGTGATGAGTAATCAATCGAAAAAGAATAATACCAAAGCTGAGATGAAAATGGAAGTAAAAATCGATGAAAAAGCAAGAGCAACACGTCAACTTGATCCAGGTGCATGGAATCCAATTGGACAACCACCACCATTGCCGGCTGTCTGGGCACCACGACCACAATCACCATTGTATACATGGTTTGGTGCACCATGGTTCGACGGTCTTAATGGTGTGATTCGAATTCGTCCACCAACCGCATTTTTGCCACCAGGCGATTTTGAAATTTACGATCATCACAAACATCACGATCATCATAAACATCATGAGCATCATCATCATACACCACTCTACTCTCAATCTTTGCTCCAAAGACCATATCCACTAGCACCATTTACTCCTGGTCTTCAAGCGTGAGTGTTCACATTTTGATATTTAATTCGAAAAAAATTCTGGCACAAGTTCTGACATTTATACTTCAATCAGAACGTCGGGTATATACATCGCTCAAAATGCTGGGGCAGTTCACATTGCCCCATTACCAGGACATGCTGAATCAGTAATTGCATCGAATTTACAGACCGCCGCCGGTACCTTTCGCGCGCCAGGACAATTTGTATCGCCCGACGCAGCAATTGCGATCGATGGACCAATACCCCCAGGACAACCAATCAATCCAATCATCGGTGCGGCGCTCCAACCAGCCCCGTTCAGACAACCAATAGCTCGAACGTGGTAGGTAACACGAGCACAACCGGAAGGGATTATATAGGGAAATAAAAATTCTCAAAAAATTCAATTCGATTTTATATAAAAAAAATCATTGACTATGTAAGTTTGAAATGCTCATAGATTGCAAGAGTTAAGATATGAAAAATAGCCAATGACAATAATTTCTTAAAATAAAATAATTCATTTGATTGCGACATATAGCGAATGTGTTTACTGTCTTTTTATTTTCTATAATAATAAATGTGGTTTCATCACTGTTCATTTGAATTGATAGAACACATTCTTAACGATATCGATCATCATTATGGCGTCTAAAATGTACTTTAATACGAAGCATTCAAACGAAAAAAAAAAACAAATCGGCGGAAAAAAAGAAAAATGAGTAACAAAGTCAGAGAGAGAGATGAAGTCAGCGCTGGGGAGAGAAAAAAGAGAATAACTGAAGCATACCTTGGTGATGATGATTATGAAACATTGTAACAAAGAAACCAGTTTGCCATCATAGTAAAAACCCGCTGATAATGAGCCAATATAGAAAAAGCAAGCGCTAGCAAATATAACACGAAGAAGAAATTGTAAGCAATTCGCGCATCCGAGTATCATTGGTATCACAAGTCGCAGAATATGGATATATATAGAAATAATCGCACGTATTGGCGATTCGATGACGTTTTAGATTTCAATGCGTTACTTTTCTTCAACGCGCACACATTTTGCCTGTGCAAAGGAGAAATGAGAAAGGCCCAACTGGAAGACCAATGGCTCAAGAATCTCTTTCGCTTGATTTGTGTGTTTGTACATCGAACTAAGAGATCTACATGAATATGGATAAAAAAACGAAGCAAACGAACAAGAAGAATGAGAAAAAAAACCAGAAGAAGAAATGTGTAAGCAATAAGCATACGTGCCAAAGCAATTATGTGCTATCACATTGGCACAGCGAAAAATTTAATCTAACGGATTCTAATGGACTGTCTAACGCATACACATATGTAAACTTCAACATGCTTGTTCTCAAGTTGTTTTTCGATCGCTATCGTTTCTCTCTTTCTCTCTGTCTTCTCATCTCTGTTCTCTGTAAAACAACATCGCAACAAAAATAGCGAAATCAAGCCAAACATATACAATACCGATTCGTTTAACCTCGATTTTTGTCAATTTTAATTTACTCAAACGAGCAAGCACATGCACGCTCTTTTGCGCATATTTATCGGCAATAGCCATGGCAAATTCTATTTGACCGATTGCAAAAAATAACAAAACACTCGCATATTGCTGCTCTCATGTGTATGTGTCTGTACCTGTGTGCTTGACCGATTAAATTTTGCGATAAGCACATATTGGTACATGAACGACAACAAACACTCGAACCATTCCACATATTATAACAAAAGATACGAAGGGTCAATAAATACAAACCATAAACTATGAATCAACGCTGAATGACGACGACGACGACGACAAGAGATCCAATGTATTATTTTTTTTTCTTTTCGATTCATAACGAATCATCTCTTGTTGAAGGACTCTGGTCAAATTGGCCCATCGCATATTTATTTTTATGTTCTTGGTTACAATGTGAAAATTCTCGGTTTGTACGATTTATCAATTTACGAATATGATAAATATTGTTTGTTCGTGCTCAATCGATTGGTTTGCTCATTGAAAACTCTAATAGGGCGACAAGTCATCGTGAATTCTGTCGTCATCACAGTTTCAACCACACAACATTATCGTTCGCTAACCACCAGAATGATGTGATGAGAAGAATAACAAAATAAAGAACATTACACACACATACACACAACATCTACTAATTACTAATTGAATAATAATAATTATGTACGGTGCTTTGCAGCTAAATAAGTCAAAACAAAGCAGACGAAAAAAAAGCTACAAAGCGCTGGTAAGTAAGAATTGAAATGAAGACGACTCACTAAACATGACGATGACGACAACAACAAAAAATTCCCTCATAAAATCTGTATGCAAATTTATGAATTGATTTTCAACATGATATGAACGAAAAAAAAAGAGCGACACACAGAGAGAAACAAAACAACAAGAGAACCACGGTACTAATCATAATTATTAGGTAATCTAGGTATACGCGCAACGTACCTGTAACTTATAACAATATTTATATGAATTATTACGAAGGAAGTAATCGAGCATAAGATGGCGCAATCAATAATGTTTATTCAAAACAACAGGGAAAAACAACAGAAAGAAACTACCATTGACAAAGATTCGCGCATGCATTTGTGATGTTTTCATTTTGAACATGGATTTAATTGATTTTTTCATAATTGATATTGAATGCAACTGATGAAATTGTATTTTAAATGAGTTGATAAATCACTCGGTTGTATAATCACCCAATTCCACCCAACTGACTTATGCTCTTTTCATGCTTTGTTGCTTCACGTATGTTACCTGAACACATACCGTCGGACCAGTAAGTTCAATGGCTAATGACCTCTTTTACATATTTAAAATTGAAGTCAAAATTCGCAAAAAGCCGTAATTTAATGCAAATACATGCATAAGTGACCTATCATCAAGAGCTTGATGACAGGGCCATTGATGATGAATCAGTACAATCTATGCGTTTTATCTTGACTTGGATGAAGTTGAGAATAAAAACCACACATTAAGTTACATACACAAAAAATATGGACGAGCAACAAAAAATGGATGCTCTCAACTCTGAGTATTGAGAACAAACCGCATAAAATTAATAAAACGATGATAAAACCATCTTATGCGAGAGATTTATTTGAAGACGGAGAGACAAAGAGTGAGCGAGCGAGACGAGGAACAAGAGAAAAAAAACGGTTCTGAATGACATGAAGAATTCCAATCGGTTTGAGCTCATTGTGTGATTTGTGTGCTGAAAAATTATCGTGCGATTCGTAGGAATATGCAAAATTAGTGGCTCTTTCATCGATGACGCGAAATTTTGTGCTCATTGATTCACGAATTAAAAAAGAACCGACAAAAAATCGGAACATTCCAGAACACAGTCCCAGGTGATTTAGTAAGGAATAATGTTCGTTCTTTTGGACCCGCCGCATATCGTACATACAATAAAAGGCATTTATTTGAGTTATAATAAATTCGTGATGCATTCAAACTGAAAATCTTTGGCAAAAAGAACGAGGACGACAGGAGGTGGAGGAAAGAGACCATTCTGGTGTTGTGCATACAAAACGTACGATCATTTGAAAATCGAACCATGCAAAAAAACAGAGTTCAAAAATGACGTCAATGGAAATGTGATCGATTTCATGCAGATAGCTCACTTGCAACTTAAAAGTTAATTGAAATTTATTCATTTCAATTGAACGGTCGCACAAAAAAAGAGGTACGAAACAGAGAGACGAATCATCGATTTGATGATGCGGACATCAAGTGAATCATAATGTGTTTGGGGTCAATTACTGAATAACCTCGTCTTGAACTAAACACACATTACCTCTATTCGAGCCGAATAATTGTTATCATTGTTTGCCTACGGTTTTAAATCAGCACGTTATGGCGATTTTTTTGTTTCGTTATCTATCTTCTCACTTTTTGAAAAGATTTGTTTCACGGAATCAGACATCATGTGAATACTGCACAGTATGTGTTCTCCTTTTGTCTCACTCTCTCACTCACTTTTCGGTATAATATTCGATTTGTTCAAAAAAATATATAGGTTATTAGACATTTCAAATGCGGTAACAATCGGAATAGCGATTGAAAAATGTAAAAAAACCGAGTGTTGTACACCTCTAAATGCGATACTCGAATAGTCATAAGTATCACTTTTAGACCTTATACAATTGTCGATAGCCTTTTATGAGCTTAATTCCTCTATTTCGTGGTCATTCATGGAATATGCGACAGTCACGGCGTGCGTTTGAAAATACATGGTTGGCAAAAGATGTAACCGCATTGATTGAATGTAAAGTCATGATTTGGCATCTCTTTTATTCGTTTTGTATTTGAAGCCTGAAGCATAATTTCATTGCCTGTTTCGTTAAATTTTGTGAGCGAACGTGTGTACGCGTTTGCCCGCTCAACGTTCATGAGCAAAAGCAGCGAAGTGTAGGAAGTTCGATCAGATGTACATTTAATCGGGTGATTTGATAAGCTGTAAACAAAACAAAGCCATAGGTGGGCTACAATCAACTACTGCTAGTCGATTCAATCGATGTTTCGCATGCCACACTTTAGCCATTCCCACCTGTGCAACGTGGTTTGCCAATCCTTTTTTTTACTAAATTCGGAAGCTCATTGATAATGATACTAATGATTGGCGAACGTGATCGTCAAAGTCATCTGTATAAATTGATTCGCACACATGATATCGATATTAAAAACGCAAAACGTGTCGTTTACAGGTAGCGTGTGCACTGCATAACAACCACGCAAATCACACCAATTCAAACGACACGAATTTTTTTGTTCAAATGACGCGGAATGACAACGACATCAACGATTACGGTATTTCAATTTATTCGGTACAATGGTCGTTAACACGTTTTCATGCAAATTCATGCTCATTTCAGATCGAACATATCACCTTTTTTCATACGGTTTTTAATCATGTCACATTAGGCCTAAACACAGATTCTGATTGATATTCTGGCGTTGATGGTAATTATTATTGACTAGAAATCGTCAGGTGTAAAATTCCGCACCAAACAAGTTGGCTGTTGAAGAGGTCAGGAAATTGAAGAATTGCGATTAACACAGTAAAAAAAGTGACACTAAAAAACGGATTATCCATAATTGCTGTAAATATTTACACATTTACGATCAAATCCAATAAAAACCACATTAATAATCAAATTAAAGATGAAATAATAAAATAACTCGAAAACATTCTCGTTTCTTCTGTTGTTTTTTTTTTTTTTTCATTAAAATTATCAACTGGAGTTCAGTTCTTTTATTGGATGTATTAACTCATTTATTTTTATAAACTGAAACAAATCAAAGATATCGACGAGCACGGGAGATTCAATGGAATGTGATAAGGTCGTCTGAAGCCCGGTTTTACCGATTATTTTGTCGTATAGTTTATTGCATTAGGCCAAATGCGTTATGAATTATAAGTTATGAGCTTTAATAATTGCTATTATTGGCTACAATGTACTTTTATTAGGATCAAGCTCGAAACCAATTTACTTCATTCATAGTAC